GAGGTCCCTTCCAGCCCTAATGTCTATGAAATTTATGAATTGTTTTTAAAGAGAGAATTCTTTTTAATAGACCTCCTACATCAAAGTCTCATCCCTTGCTATTCTATTCTATTTCTGATAGAAATGGATATACATTCCCTCACCTGGTACATCCTTGAACCTTCAAGTATTACACCCAATTTTCTTAAATAGCTGGCTAATGTTACTTTGTGTCATGTATACATGTACTTACAAAAACGTAACAGAATATCAGTTTAATGACATACACCAGCAATGTTCTTATTTCATCATTCCTTGAGTGTGATTGCAAAAATAAGCTACATACCAACGAACTGCTTGGGACACCACCAGTTGACCACATTGCAGGTGCTATTTTTGGTTGCCAGTTAGCTCCTCCTGTTAATTTCTTTTCTCCAGCATTCCACTGAAGGTCTCCCCTAATTAAAAATCCAATGCAGAAATGATTATACATGAAGTAACACTGAACACCGAGTGAAAACCTGTAACCACATGTATGCCAACTATGGTGGCCATCATAGAGGACAGTCGGGTTGTCCTCTGTCCTCTATTGATATGAAACTGGATGCCTTTATATCCTCTGTTTTTCTCTCAATGAGAAAAATGGACATAAAGGCACCTGATCTTGTATCAATAGAGGACAGAGTAGCAGAAAACTGGAATATCCTCTATGATGGCCACCCTAATGCCAACACAAAGTTAGTTAATGTATTAATTCGTGACATAAGTGCATATTAAATGGCCATTTAAAAAAGGCACTTTGTACCGTCACAGTAGTTTATTTACAGCTTTCACTAAAATGATACAGCAGAATTAGCAACAAAATTCCATAAAATGACATAATTTATAGTTATTGATAAAAGCATACAAAAAATTACACACTGCATTAATTTAGAGAACACTAAAATTGAGCATAACATATGATGATATACAAGAATAAAGTGAATACAAAATAGTAGAAAAAATTAAAAACAGGGAATTTTGTTTAATTTTGTCCCTTATTATTTGTGTAAGTAGTGCCAATATACCTTCAGAGTAAAGGACAGGTTACAAGTCATTAAAAAGGAGCCAAATTGTTTTTTCTCCTTTAGCCCAGTACTTAAAATTTTCCGCTAATAAAGAGATCCATTTCTCTGTTATTTCATCAAAGAATGAAGAAGAGCACAAATAGTAATTTTGGGTAATTTATCTCATTCTTCCCATAAGAGCATGTTCTATACAAATATGGGGTTCAACACCACCTTTCCATGACAACTACAGATACGAGAGTTGAATTGCCGTCTCATAAGATCTCATTTGTAGATTTTTTTTGCAGAGAGTTTTCTAGGCCAAAAGTTGTTCTTTTTTCTTCTTTTTAATAAAGCACATAAAAGAAAAACAGGGGAAGTTCAGGAAAATCTCACTACCTGCATATATGTTTGCATCCTGGAGTCTTGAATTCTTAAAATGTATACCTTGTTTTAAATATGGGGGAAGTGTTGGGTCAATAACTGTCAGCATATTTCCCAGAACATTTGTCTGGAGAACAGTACAAATGTTATTTAATTATTCAAATAAAACACTTTTTCAGAAGAGATGAAGTATCTAAAATGCATTTCTTGGGCTATCTGACAGGGATATAAGCTCTCACATTTATCCAGTAATTCCTAATTATACTGCAATGTTCACAGTAAATAGTAGTTGCATTTCAGATCACGTGAGTCTCCCTGTCACAGAATGAACCATGGGTTCAGCATCCCATAGTTCTACTCCATAAATCTTTAGTGCTTCCATTACTACTCTTTTAACAGTTTTATTGTAAAAGGATTAAATTCCAGCCAAGTCTTGTTTTACTTCAGTGCTTACATTTTTGTGCATTTACTCCAGCTCAATTTTTATTTAAATAAAAAAATACATTAAAAAAGATACTACCTCCAATTTCTTTTTCTATGAAAAAAATTGTTTCTTCTTTTTGTTTCCAATCAATCAATCAATCAATACTTTGATGTTGATTTCGAGCTGAGCCACAACATTGTTAAAAAGCATCTACTTTATCTACCCAAATTCAAGATGATTCTGAATTTAAGACGACTCCCAATAATGAGATTCTAGACATGGGAAATGTATTAATTTGTTATAATTTTTCAAGTTTAGAATATATTTTTGGAGTTCTTAAACGACTTCAGAGCAACGAAAATTGTTCAGGGGCTGAGGCACATCACTTATGAGGAGAGGCTGAGGGAACTGGGTTTATTTAAATCTAAAGAAGAAAAGACTGGGATTTGATAGCATCCTTTAAACTACCTGAAAGGTGGTTCTCCAAAGAGGATGAAGCTAGACTGTTCTCAGTGGTGATAGGTGACAGAACAAGGAGCAATGGTCTCAAGTTGC